TTTTCCGAAGTTTAATCCGACTCGCGTGAGTACAGAAATTCCAAACCCAAAGGCTTCGGTCGACAGGAGATCAATGGGATCCTGTCTATGTGAATGTTAGATGTAACGGTGTAAGGTTCCGGATCAACTCCGGAAACACTTGGTTTTGGATGTAGTCTGAACAGACAGCTGCGATATTGTTTGAATGCCGTCACCGGCGGTGGTGAGATTTTTGATATAATGTAACGGCGCAGGCAAGACTACTCGGATCAGTATCGGCAGTAGCGTCACTCAGAGGCATATGGGAGTGCGTGGGACATCAAACGAGCCTTGATTCGAATAGACACCTATAGGCCTTGTACGAAAGGATATCAAAAATCTATCGAGCTACGGTATGGAGAAGGTGGGGTTTTATATCAGCAGATCTGCCCTCGGCTAGTGCGTGCCCATGTTCGGATCCCTTTCGGATGTTAGTTCAGTGTGTACTCGAACCGTTACAAGTAAGAGTATAAAAAAAAAACTCTAAAAAAAACACTAGAGGGAGGAGCGAGCTGCCGTAGCCGTATATAAAAAATAGATAGTATAAGCTACTCGTGAGCATCGCGAAATGGCTAAAGTGGTGCGGTAGGAGGAGCGGGCTACGAGGGCTGTATAACTGGCTGCCGCGCGCGCCTAAAAGGCATAAGACTGCGCTGCTGCAACCGCACTAAAAGCTCGCGATAAGTAGAATATAGCTAAATAAAAAGCTTTATTAACTTAGAATAAAAAAATATTAAAGCGGCGTTGTGTTGTAGAGGCTAAAAGTAGTGGTAGTAATGCATTACCGCCTGCTAAGCCTCCCACCAAAACCACCACGCGCGGCCGCAACGTGAAGTTACCTAGCAAATATTAGTAGATAGATATCAAATATACGATTATGGTAGTACTCTACCAAAATATCTTGCGATAATAACGTTTTGGTGGTGGTCAAAAGCTTCATTTTTTGGCGGGCACCCATTTTGGTGGGGTGTTGCATTGGGTGAACTGTTGCGCGCACTGACCACATGCAGTAACAGACTGGGCGCCGCAAATGTCGCGTTGTCATTGAAGCAGTTCTGAGATATATACCGGCTTCTACAACAAGAACAACATCACACACATTCAAAAAGCAGTGAGAGAGGTAAAGGAGTGACCAGCCACATTGATAATCTAACGTCCGTCCCTACGTGCCGGGACGCACGGTGTAACGGGACACATTTTCTTTCCGGTGCCCGGATTATACCCACCATGCCTATAAACCGATAGGTCCAGCGTGCATCCATTCTGCAGCTCTTGCTCTTCCAGTGCATCGGCCCTCCTCCGGCTTACAGTCAATTAAGCAGTTTTCTTTCTAGTTAATATTAGTGCAGAGTCAAGTTAGGTGACGTGCAGCTTACTGACGAAACAAGTTAGTGCTGAGCAGCCTACGCGCTGTAAGGGGCTGCGCTCCAGGGAGAAATCGCGAGGTATACAAGAGGTTATATTCGATGAAGAGCTATCTACTCTACTATCTAGCATATGAAATACATGCTTAGTTTTGGAAACGTAGGTTACACTTAGAGTTATAGCGAACTTGCGTTATGAAGCAAAGAAGTCACGATCTGCTACGTAGGGCACTGACTGCCTCAGCTAGCGCGCTCAGCACTTGCACAAATATCTGCCCTGTCTGCCTGCGAGAACGCCTAGACCTCCTGCCGCTGTCTGACTGTGACACAATTTCGGTACTTCGGCAAGGGACAAATCTCACAATCATCCCTTGTCCTACTTGCAAAACTTTCGGTGACATCTAATATTGCTGCCCTGAGCGTTATCTGACATGCAGCCTCTAAACATCGAATCAAGGGCTAAATAACGTGCATCCCTCCGCAACGGACATTATATATGTAGCCTACTCCTTTGCTAAACCAAAAGATACTTCCTATTACCACATCTTCCTTAACACCGACAAACAACTAAACCATAAAGAGTAAGCTACGTACCTCTACTATTTCTAGACTATTAAGCTAACAAACCTTGTAGGTTTACTAAGCAACGATGCGTTTCCTCTTCGAAATCTTGATGCTATCCGTCGGTAGTGCATTAGCAGGTCCTGTAGGCTCTGATATACTATATACTAGAGGTATTTTTATCTACTTTCAACTCTAAATCTAGTTGTAGCATTCTTCTAAATTCGTTTTTAGACCCCCAAGCTACTACTGGTTGTCGAGGGTGCTACCACAATTGCAATACAGTTTACCCTCGTGGCTATCAACGTAATGATTGTTATAAAGGGTGCAAAACTCTATTCGGGGATTGTTAGTGAGATAGGAAATAGTTAGATGCGCCTCAATTAAAACCCCGCCTGCATCAGTTGAAGTTCTTCTAAGATTGCATTTAGAGATATAACAGATAACGAACGTCTATCCCTACGTGCCGGGGCGCGCGGTGTAATATGGCGCTTTCTCCTCTAGTTAAACCTTCGGCACTGTATGTAACGGCGGAGTGACACTAACTAGAAAGAAAACTCAATTAATTGTTAGCTAGAAGAGGGTCGATATAATAGTAACGCTGCTATATTGTTATACAGCTACGGTATCGGCATCTTTAGGGAGCACAAACGGCGATAGGAGCCAAGGTCACGTTGCAATGTTGCAATTGTCAGAGCCTAGCCTTCTCTGACTCCCTCTTAGCACCTTTGATGCCTATTATTCCAAAGTAGCCCTCCTTAGACATCCTTGACTTAGCATCGTAGATATAAGCCCAACGAACACTATCTTAGCTCGATAGCTGTTCGTCTATGGTGAATACAGACTATTTGACTACCCTTGCTATTGTTGCTCTTACCTCGTGCCTATTCAATCCTATTAGTCTAACAGCAATAGCATCTGCTACGGGCATGCGCCATAGCTATTCTTAGCCGCAAACTACTATGGGTATAGGGCCGAATTTGTTACGATAGACATCTGAGCGCACTACTGCACGCAGCCTGCACGCCAAGGACTATTAATGGTGCCTGTTCTGTAGGACACGTTTTAACGATCTTGCCATCTACGCGGCGAAACTGCTAGGATATATACTTAATGCTCTAAATCGACTTTCTACGGCTACAGTCTTAATTTTTTATCATCCTAGCTTTCTTCCTAGGCTACTAAGCTTTTTGTAGATATACAGGGTAGTAAGGACTAGAGAATAGATCTGCATTATACTTGTCTGCATGCAAGCACACTGCGAACAACCCGAGGATCCAGAAGAGAAAGTATCCCGTCATACAGTGCGTCCCGGCACGTAGGGATAGACGTTAAGTAGTTGTGACACACACTGCACTTCACAGTACAAACTCTACACCTCGCTAACTAACCTAGACACTGTGCTTATTTAATCTATCAGAACCTGTAGAACTGTATAAACCACATGCTGATCCATAAGTTCTCAAAACAGGGCAGTGACAAAACATGGAGCTAATTCTATCTAGATATACCATAATGGTCTCATCACCAATAACATCTATGTTCACCGTAATCTTGCACGATAAAAGCTATAGTAGAGCTGTTTTAAGCCGAATGCTAGCCGATCAAAAGCTACGTAACATACATACCATGAAGATCCATGTAATAGAATGCAACAGAGTAAAACTGAGGCTTTAGGTGAAACTATGGTGGCCTGTATGAAATGTAGAGTAGTCTATTGCTGGTAATGAGAATCACGTGATTAATGCCACTATCTTGCATTAGGTAACATGACAACACCATTGAACAAACACAAGGTCAATACTACCTCAAAACTCACAAACACTTACTTGAAGAACGCCTCATCATACCTAAAACCATCGAAACCCCACCATCCTCCCTCAATCTACCTACACCCTCAACAATCCCTAAGTAGCCAACCCAACCAGCTTCCCATACGCCCACCCACTCTACTCCCAAAACACCACAACCCTAACCTCAATACTTTCCCTCGCCTCCTGCCCTTCACTCCCCGGCACCCTAAACGCCGTATGCGGACACCTCCACCCAGGCTTCTCCCTCTCGGTATCAAACCCCTTAAACACCACCATCTCATCCGGCATCATATTACTCAAATACCACCACTGATGCACCTGCCTCTCCTTCTCCCCATGGCTCATCACATAATTCTCACTCTTAATCCCTGTACGACTAAACTCCCTCTCTCGGATTTGGTAGTCCGAGTCCGGGACGCTGGTGGCGTCACAGACGGCAAGGGGATCTCTGTGGACGGGTTTTAGGGGGCGCCAGGCGCCGAGGAAGGCGAAGCGTTGGGAGTGCGTGAAGAGGGTGGAGATATGAGGTGGGAGGGAGAGTTCGCGTTGGGTGCCGGCGATGGCGGAGGGGCTGCCGGCGTAGTCGACGTGGGGGTGGCCCGAGGGAATGTCTTGCCAGCGGCCTTTGGGGTCGAGGATGCCTTTTTCGCTGGGGGAGGTATGCGCGCGGATTACGTGGTTGAAGACGTGGGCGGTTGTGGCGCCGGTTCTGTTCGAGAGTTGGTTGTTGTATTCTTTTATTTGATTTTGTTCGGAATTAGAATGTGAAATGGTAGAGCTTACAATTTCTTTACAGTTTCTTCTATCTCTGGGTAGTATTCGCGCTTTACTTCTTCTTCGGTGCTTTCGCGGGTGACTCGGTTTTTTGGTGGTAGCGTGACGAATGTGAATCCGTTGGTGTCGAGATCAAAGGTTCTTCCGCTCGTACGTGCATCTCGGATGAGCATATACCGAGTGTGTTCGTTGTGGTCATCTAGGAACGGCGTCTTCCAAGCGGAATTTGGGATCGGAATACCTGTGACAGGAAAGTAGTTAATGGGGACAACAACATCGCCGCTTTGCGAGTCTCGACGGGTTTCCTGCATAATGGAAAATATCCTCAAATTTGAGAATGTGAAACCTTGTTGTTGAACGATTATGGCGCAAAAATATGTTCTTCTTCAATATGGTCACATCACCATGTTCGCGGAACCGCGGCCAGCAGAAGTGGGGTAGACGCGTGCGCAAGGTCATACTGGACAATCAGTCGTACAATTAACATTTCTCATATACCATCACCGGTGACGTAGCGATGTTATGGTATTTTTCTAACCCTTAATTTCCATGCGCTCAGACCTACATCGCTCAAAGAAGCTGCTTCAAAATGTCTATCTGCTCCATGACAGCGCTCTTGCTTGTGCCGCCAGTAGCATTCTTTAGCTCGACTGCGCGCTCATAGTCCAAGCATTCTACGACATCATCACCGAGCCTAGAGTCAATGCCCTTGAGTTGCTCCAAACTCAGTTTGTCCATGGGTACATTCTCCTTCTCTGCTAATGCGACTACACGGCCGGAGATGTGGTGGCCCTCGCGGAATGGTACACCCTTCCTGACAAGGTAGTCTGCGAATTCTGTTGCCAGCATCTCAGGTGCTAGCGCTGCGTGCATCTTATCGGCATTGACGGAAAGAGTCGACAGGACACCAGTGGCAATCTGAATAGAGTCGCTGACCGTTTTGATGTGGTCAATGAGGGGCTCGACCGACTCTTGGAGATCCTTGTTGTAGGTTGTGGGCAGACCCTTGATGGTGACGTACAGGCCTGCCATGTGTCCGAATGCACGACCGCTCTTGCCGCGGATAAGCTCGAGTGAATCTGCGTTCTTCTTCTGGGGCATCAAGGAGCTTCCAGTCGAGTACGCGTCAGCTAGGCGGACGAAGCCAAATTCCAGACTTGAATAGATGATCAAATCCTCCGCCCAACGAGACATCTTCAGCATGAAGCTAGATCCCCATTGTAATGTCTCAAAGACGAAGTCGCGATCTCCGACAGCGTTCAATGAGTTGGGCAAGAGACCTTCAAAGCCGAGCTCCTTGGCCATAGCGTGGCGGTCGATGTTGAACGGGTTACCCGCAAGCGCACCACATCCCAGCGGGGACTTGTTGACGCGCTTGATTACTTCGCGGAGTCGCTCAAGTTCGGATGCGAAAGCGGTTGCGTGTGAAAGGATCCAATGAGACCAGCGCACTGGTTGGGCTTTCTGGAGATGCGTGTAGCCAGGCATGAGGATGTCAATCTCAGCCTCTGCTCGCTGCACTGAAGTCTTTATCAAGAGCTTCAGATAACCCTCAAGCACCTTGAGCTGCTCTCGCAGCCATAACCGCATGTCGGTTGCGACTTGCTCGTTCCTGCTACGCCCTGTGTGCAGCTTTCCGCCAATGTCTTTGCCGATGATCTCGCTCAGCCTCCTTTCGTTGGCAGTGTGAATGTCCTCGTCATTTGCCTTGACCTCGAACGTGTTGGAGGCCCACTCTTCCTTGATCTGCGCCATGCCCTTCTCAATGGCAGCGAACTCGTCTTCGGTAAGGATACCATTGTTCTTGTTGGCTCGGGCGAACGCAATAGAGCCGGCAATATCTTCGGCGTAGAAGAGGCGGTCGTAGGGCAGCGAGGCGTTGTACTGCTCCATGACGGGGTCAAGACCCTCTGTGCACGTCTCAGTATCATACAGTCATGCCAAACAAGTTCGTATGATCCAATCAAGTCATTGACAGGTACGTACCCGTGAAACGACCACCCCAGAGCATGTTCTCTGCTACCTTCTTTTCTGAAGCCATTTTGTGTATGAGAAAAGCGAAAAGTTGTTGAGTTGTGTTGTGACTGTTCGCGCGTCCAGAAAAAAGATATGACGCTCCTGCATCGGCGGGCAGGGGTCTGCGCTACTAAGCGCTAGTTACTGCGGGGAATCATCACAATTCACTTTCAGTCACCAACCTTCAGATACAGTTTCTACAAGGCGAAGCAAAGTCTATATTCTATGTAAGAGCACATATCTAGCAGGTCTGGGTATTGAATCCGTACCTACCATGATATTTGACGCCCTCAATTCATATTATCCTCCAGCGTCAGCCGACTCAACCCCGCTTCAAGCAACGCCAGCTCTGCAAAATATGTAGATTGTCCACGAGCGCGAAAATTACCTTGCGCGTTTGCGATCATTGCCTTCTTTCTTAAATAACCTCCAATACTCTGCTGATTGACAGTTGGGAGAGTAGCGTTGCTATTCGCATAGCTCGTTGGCAAGAAAGCAGGGCGAAGCCCCCATAGACCCTCACGATCCATTTCCTCTTGCAACTGCTGCTGCCTCTGCAAGAACAAGCCAAATGGCCCGCCTTGCTGTCCTTGTGCTTCAAAAGAATCGAAAAATACAGTAGGGAGTCTACGCGTAGGCCTTGGATGCGTCATTGCTGGGTGGCTGTAGCGTACATACATTGGTTTGTCTGTCATGGCTGTTTGCATTTAGGTTCGATAGATGGGCGTAGTTTTTGTTGGAATCTTTTCCACGCACGATAATATAACAACTGAACTATCACTATGTGAACCCACAGTCATAGATGGTGAGCTGTTCGGTACTGAGGTGGTTTCACAATGCAATTAGAACATGATCAGAATGAGTGAATTCAGCTTCAGGTGTTTGAAATTCGTTCTTCTAGTGTCAAACTAGATAGCTACTGCTCTTTGATTTGAGTTGTTTCGTTACTCATTGTGATTCAGTCCCAACGCCGATGAATGCAAGAACCCAGTACGCGATGCCATCGCTAATGCTAACCATTTGATATGCAAAAAAAAACGCTCTTCGCTGCAATGCCGTAGTGATAACAGAAACTTCTCAAACAAGCGCACCAACAACGCTCAAGCCAATAAGGAGAGACAGGGTCCAGCTCCCGCTAATCTTCAGCCCAGCGCTCACATACGATCCTTCATTGCCACCGTTGGTCTTTCTCGGCCCAACCGCCTTTTCAACATTGAAACACCCAAACATGCCAATGCCGGTAGCGCCCTCCTTGTCGAAAGCTTGCATCTTCTCTGCGAGACAGGTCTCGACGATGTCTGGCGAGTCGGTGATGCAGTACTGGAAGCAATCGTCACCGTCCTCTGAGTTGACAATTACAGGTGTTGTTGAATCGCGGGGTGTTAATGAGGTGGTATCTGGGGCCGAGTATGTGGCAATAGCATTGATGTGGCCGTTGCAGCAGGCATCCAGGATCGAGCTGTTTGAGCCGCCGATGGGTACTGCGCAGGAGGGCAAGGTGGTGGGTGGTGGAGGAACCGAGCTGAGAGGTTGGCAAGACATTTTTGGGACTTTATGTGTCTTTTTGTGATGAATAAGATGTGAAGCGGACGATCGAGGTCGTTCAAAGTGTAGTGTATCGAATTGAGATTTAGTACCCGGCGGTTCGATTAAACACGGCTAGCGTGTGATCAGGCGAACTTTTCAAAGAGAGAATATAGAGATCGTTCAGATGAGATGAAAGTTTGGCCCCAATGCAGTGCTGAGATTTGACTGGAAGAAAGAATGCAAGTTTTTGAAAGAAATAGTATGATGAGTTGTTCGCAGAACACACTCAGAACAATAAGAAAAGAACCTGATGAAATGATAAAAGGAAAGAGAGAATCTTGAGGCTGTTGGATGATGCCATTATCGAGTGCAGAGCCTCATTCATATGTACAGAACAGATTCTAAGAATATCCTGGCAGGATTGGCGGGTGGATAGGCGGGTAGATGGGCCAGCGCGAGAACTAGCGTTACGCGCCCGCCGCTCGGCTGTGGGACGTTGTTGGTTGGCCAGTAACGCTCGACGGGACTACGCGCTAAATGCTCGGCCCCATCCGAAACAACCTGTTCTGTCGTGTTTGAAACATTATTATGCGAGGATTTGTTGTCTTCATGCTTTGTCCAGTCCAATGAGGTGTGAATATAGCGCGGTAGAGACAGGTCACGTGTCGTATACTCCACCAAAACAAAGACCCATGCGCTTGACCCGAGTAATGACAGGCGGCTTTCAGGTACCAAACAGACATCCCGCGAGGCTGTTGGACAGGAATAATATCTTGGGGCCCCGTTGGCGCGGTAAGATCGGGAGTAACGGAGCCCACGTTGCGGGCCTAAATAGATGGCACCATGCTCCATTGATGAAGTGGGTACTTTTACTTCAAGATACATGCGTACAATTGATAAATTGAAACTGAGATATCACTACCTAGATCAGGCCATCTTTTTGCGACTTTCAAAGTCCTTGTCACTCTGCGACCGTTGTGTTCTGGGAAATGAAGCACAAAACTGAAATCAGCCAGGAATTAGAACGCTTAGGGCGTCTGGTGTTGAGTCTTAGTCGTCTTCATTCTCATCCTCGTGCGCGGCTGCCCAAGGGCTTCTCTTGCGTAGGGATGCTCCTCGCACCTCGAGTACAAATGGTATAGGCGCTAAGCAGATAGCGATAACCGTCAGTACTAAGGTTGCATTTCTAGTGCCGATGTTCAGAAAAAGATGCCTGCCGACAAGTGGAAAACCAGCTCCAGCCAGATTTCGGATAAGTCCGATCCCAGCAAGTGCTGATGCCGAGTATGTTTTATAGGCATCCTCAGTATATGTAAGGGTCATGAGTACTACACGTAAATTGTGAGCATAGGTCGTCTTCAAACCCAAGATAAAACTTACTTAGGGTATAGAAGGACCATCCCCAGAAGGCGCTCGCGAATACTGCAAAGAGCGGGTGTATGTGCGGCGTAGCTGTGAATGCGAAAGCTAAAAGGGATATCGGCAGCACTATAGCGGCTAGTTTTGCATAACGCACCCGTGCTTCTGGGACATCATGACCATCGGCTTGAGCGACACGCCATTGGTAGTATCTTTCTTGAAAGACGTTTGTCATGAGGCCAACCGTTATGCCCACAACTATCCCAAGAAAGCAGATGCCAACGCCAATAGTGTCAAACCCGTAGCCACTTGGTCCAAAAATCATATGAAAAGCGCCATTGAACAGGAATGAAAGCCCGTATAAAAAGCCATTGTAGAGAGCACCAAACTGAACGATGGCTTCAGTGCCAAGAAATCGGAATGGTCTCGCAAGTGCGGTGCCGAAGAGTTGTTTCGGTCCTCGCTGCTTCAGCGCATCCGGCACCTCTAGACTGTCGTCTCCTGTTACTTTGCGCAGCGCTCTCGCCCTTCTCAGCAAAATCACACTGTGTCGGGTCTCTCCCAAAAAGTTCAGAGTTACAACTAAGATGATCCAAAACGCGAAGCAGATGGCCAGCATGATCCGAAACACATCGTGCCATGGTCTGCCCTGTGCAATGAAAGAAAAGAGCACAAATCCAGTTGGACTTCCGCCCGTGGCTGCCCAGAGAAACCAGGACATTGCTGGGCCAGTGTCGTTGTGATGGAAGAGATCTGCGATAGTTCCACCGAAATTCGATATCGTTGTAGAAGAAAAATAGCCAGAGAAGTATCTCAAGACAAGGAACGGTCCTAGAGTCTCAACATATGTCGTTCCCAAAAGCATAAGTAAGAATATCCCATATGACACAATGTACACAGGTCTGCGTCCATAGTACTCTGAGAGTGGTGCTAGAGTCATAGGTCCAAAAGCTAGTCCAAGGACGTACATGCTCAGCCCCAGCAATGCGACGCTGGGAGACACACCCATATCTTTTGCAAAGTCACCCGCGACGGGACTAAATCCACTGGCGCCCCAAGAGACACTCAGATCTATAGGTATTATCGCGGCAACCATAAGCCATTTTCGCGCTGTCGGCCAGTTGCGTGGGTCTTCGGGATCGTTGGGTTCGAATGTTATGACTTTGGCCGGCACTTGGGAGAGTAACGGCTCTCTCTCAGCTTGGGAGGAGCTCATCTTTCCATAGGAAAAAAAATAAGAGAATGAAGGTCTTCTGGCATGTCCAGAGTCAAGGCGCAGCTACGGTGTGTTGCTGCCACGTGAACGTGAGAGATACGGCGATCTAGCGCCGATGATGACGTACCAAGCCATGATTTCATTGGACTAATCCATTCTGTACTACATTTGGGTTCTGATATCTCCACCACTGAACACTCGCATATCACTGCTGAACAAGTTGACGATGCATCGTCTTGATTTACTTAGGATCAATATCTTTGCTAGTCTGAAACTCAAGTTAGCAATTGCTGATTTCCGATTCCAGTACGCTATGCCGTGCACAAGTTTCGTCACTGCATAGCTCCCTAGAATTTAGACTACATATGTTTGTACTTGTTGGAATCAACGCATTTCTTTCCTAACCCTTCTGTGTAGACTCGAACGGATATGAGCCAATCCTCATCGACATTGTATGAGATCTCCTTAGTTGCACTAAGGTCATTTATCATCTATTCTGATAATCAGTCCCACAGTGGCATCAATGACTCGAATTTCCCTACTCTGCCAAAACTAGCAGGCCCGACATCAGCTCAATTCACACAGTATATGGTATGATCCGGCAGCGATTGCCGCATGTGTTGCAGTTGCGCATCGATTGTCGACAATCAAACGGTGTGACTGCATCTTGGTAATACACAATGGGCAAGTAGATGAGCAAGGGGACCCACGAGGAGCTTGTTGCAATGAGAGGTAGGTGTTGTGCTATAGTGCTGGTGCAGTCACTAGATCGAAAGACGTTATGTGTTAGCGCACAGTAGATGTACAGCTAGTATTGCCTTCATCTTGTAATTCATTAACGCACAACCCCGTTGGCATGAGGTACAAATTTTCAGATTTTAGACTAGAGCATGAAGTAATTTGACAAAATTTGTAATCTCTCTCAAAACATCTAAATGTAGTTGATTAAGAAAGACTGGGATGTTGCTGTGTAATTTGGCACACTGTGACCTGCAAATGCCCCTGGCAAAGTACGCACCACTAGGGCTCTCGCAAAGTGTGTCTGGATTCTTGGATAACATCCTAAAAACATAGTATTCATCTCCCGCCCCACATTGACTAGTCAATAATTAGTTCACCGTTTGTCCTATACGCAAGTAAGCGGACGTAAATGGTGGCCGTTTTCGGTCTACATACCACCGAAGGCCCGACTAGCGTATTTATCCTGTATCCCGGACTCCTCCTTTACCCTAGATTTCGACTAGTCCACCCGTGATTCTATATTAATTTTCCCGGATGTTTGGTTATAAACAATGGAAACAAGAACGCCGTCGAGCCAAGCCCGTGTTTGTCGCATCGCTCAGCATCCACCATGCGCGCTATTACGGTCACAGCGACGCTTCTATTCTGTGCCAATACATGGGCCTTTCTGAAAGCCAGTCAAAACAATCGGAGTCTCACTATTGCTAATGAACGTCTGGTTGCATCGGTGAGCAAATCGAAAGGGTATATCAATGTTTTGACACTCGACGGCCAAAACCTTCTCGGAACAGAATCTAGTAATACTGGTGTTGGGCCATATCTTGATTGCTACTGGTTGGTGAAAGTCATGCTCGAAAGGCACAGAGACGATCAACTGACTTTGTCTCTTCAAAAACAGTACCCCGAGTGGCTTCTGGACGCCTGGTCGTGGTAAGGATGTTCAATATCAACTATTCAATGGCACCGACTCAACCGGCACTCCGTACGGCGGTATCAGCATGGGAGAAACGTATGCGCCTACTGGCCAACGGCTGGAGCAATACTGGTTTCTAAGAGAAGGAGAGACCGGGCTCCACACTTTCAGTCGAATAGTATACCACAACGAGACTACGCCGTTTTTGCGGAACCTGCAGGAGTTCCGGACTCTATTCAGACCCAACCATGACCCTCCACTTTTCACTCACTTTGTCACTAACGACAAGTTTTCTGCGCCTCGTCCAGATCTCAACGGACAAGTAGTAGTTCAAGATGCCACCTGGAAGCTCGCCAATAAGGACGATCCATACGTGAAGGGTGTAGGAGACTATTTCACCAAGTACACCTTCCAAGATAGCTGGCGCAACCACCTCGCCCACGGCATGTACGCCGACGGGCGCACCACAAACGGCACCACCTACGGCGCCTGGCTCGTCCACAACACAGTCGAAACCTACTTCGGCGGCCCCACGCACTCGGACCTCGTCGTCGATGGCATCGTCTACAACTACATGGTCTCCAACCACCACGGCGCCCAAACCCCAAACATAACCTCGGGCTTCGACCGTACCTTTGGTCCGCAATACTTCCACTTCAATGCCGGCGGTACCCTCTCTGAGTTGCGTAAAGACGCAGAACAATACGGCCAGCGTCCAGATTGGAACGCACCCTTCTACGACTCCATCGCCCCGCACGTCCCGAACCTCGTTGCTTCCTCCTCCCGCGGTACTTTCGAAGCAAAAATCACTCTTCCTCCAGGTGCACAGAACCCCATCGCCATCCTCACCACCACCGGCCACAACTACCAAGACAACGCTGCAAACAGCACCGCATATCAATACTGGACCCCGATCCCTTCTTCAGGCGCCATTTCCATTCTACGCGTGAAACCAGGATCCTACCGCTTAACCCTCTACGCAAACGCCATATTCGGAGACTACGTCCGCGACTCCATCTCTATATCCCCCTCCCACACCACCTTCGTAAACGTAACATGGACGCCCCAGACAGCGGGAAAGGAGATCTTCCGCATCGGGACCCCAGACAAATCCTCCGGCGAGTTCCGCCACGGCACTACCCCCTCACGCACTCACCCACTGTTGACAGAAGAATACAGACTCTACTGGGCTGCGTACGATTTCATCACGGATTTTCCATCAGGCATCACGTTCAAGGTGGGAAAAGACAATGAGAGTACAGCGCTGAATTACGTCCACTGGTCCGTCTTTGGCGGGAAAGCGAATAGCGTGCGGCCTGTCCCAGTGCCGGATCATGTGTATGATTGGACTTTGCTCTTTGATTTGGGAGAGGAGGATGTGAGGGAGGGGGGCAAAGCGACGTTCACTGTGCAGCTTGCGGGTGCGAAGACAGCGGCGGGGAATACGGATTTAGATACTGGGGAGAGGTGGTCGAATCTTCCACTCACTGTCTCTGTCAATGGTGAGGTTTTGGAGGCATGGGTCGTTCCGTGAGTTTTATCCCTCCTTGTTTCTTTCCACTCCTAGATTGTGCAAGAGGAATGTGTGATTGTTTATGTGCAGAGAAGTAAAGCTAACATAGGGATATAGATACTACCAGTCTTCCTCGTGTGCTGTGCGTTCAGCAGTCTCGTGCTACCATCTGTCGCACAAATTCGAGTTTCCGGGGGACTTGTTGAAGGAGGGGGAGAATGAGATTGTGTTAGGATTGCCGTATAATGCAACGGGAAACGAGAGTGCGGTACTACCCGAGGCGGTGTATGTGCAGTATGATGCGTTGAGGTTGGAGGTGGAGTAAGATTGATGTATTTGGACATATTGTTTGGTAAACGTTGAGGTGGTTATCTAACCTTGGAAATTGAAGTAAAAAAGTTAAATCTTAAGGTGAGAAGAGGATAAAGATGATACTTTGTGACTGAGAGCCGGAAGAAACTGCTTCACTCGCTTTGTCATATGTATAGACTGGCGCTGTATATAAGGTAGCAATCTCCTTACACATACCAGCAATAAACATGCAACAAGACACATCATCACCTCAACCTAAAAACACAACCATTCAAATGACAGACTCTGGTATTTCCGTAGCTACTAAAATCCAATATATGTATATATGTATATATGTATATATACGACTAACCACCACTCATATCGCATTCTCACCGTGTTCCCCCTCTTTCATCGCCATATACGACATTCCCATATCAACCCATCCTTTACAAACTGGCCAACCTCATGGATCCCATGACAAAATCCAAGGGTCCATCCAAACAACAAGAAGCAGAAAATAAAAAGAAGTGGATGTATTTACACAAAAGGAAAATAACCTAGAGTCGTAGGACAAGTCCTTCATCAAAAAAAAGCGCAACGAATGGCAAACAAAAACTGAAAAAGGTATACGAGTGCGCGAAACAGAGATGGAGAAGAGGCAGGTGGTAAAAAAAAAGGAAGGACAGAAAAGATGAAAAGAAAAACAGGCAGAGCAAAAAAACTCAAAACAAGAGTGGGAGACGGGGTGAGGGGGAGGGGGAAACAAAAAACCAAGAAACAGAAAGTTTGAAAAAAAAAGACTGGCAAGGTTTCCCTCCCCCCGCAACGCTATGCAATTCATTCATTTCCCTTTGTATCGCTTTAATTTCTCTTTCTTCTTCTTTTTTGTTCAAAAAACCCCTTTCAAAGAAGCCGAGCACAAAACATTAACATTTTATAATCCTAACCCAAACCCCCCTCCCGCACAAGCGGTTTTCGTTTCGAAACAACCAACCGCAACAGGGACTACCTGGGCGGGCTCGCAGGAGGCGACTTGGGCACTGGAGATTTGGGTACCGGCGGTATGTCTGGTACATCCTCGCTGTTTGGTTGTTGTTGTTGTTGTTGCTGATATTGTCGGAGATGCTCGGGCAGCTCTTCGCGCGTAATCGTTGCTCTTCGTATGGCGTTGCGTAATCGGCTCATGACGGCCGGTTGTGAGTTGGCGCCATTTGCGGCCTGGTAGCTGGTCCGATTGCCCTGGAAGCTGTTTCGGCTGTGCGACGACTCAAGTCGCGTCAGCATGGCTGCCGACGTAAAATCGTTACTCTGCTCGAAACTAGGGCGGACACGGTCCATCGACATGCGCGCACGGTCGTAGCTCGGTCGCACACGGCATTCAGTCGACATGCGGGGGTTGAGTGGAGGACCGTCTGAAGTGGGTGCTGGTGGGAGGCCTTCCATAGAGCGACGGAAGGTGTAGTCTGTGCTGTTGCTGCCGTTTTGGCTTCTTGGGTTGTGCGTCGTGGCCGTGGGCGCAACCGAAGGTGGGTATATTGGTCGTACATCTTCGTCAGTAGGAGTAGCATTTGCGGCCGTGTACTTGGAAGCATCGGCTTCTGGGATGCTTGAGTCTGGTGAAGAAGCGATCTTCTCTGGTGGTGGAGGAATGAATGAAGTGGATTCTTTAAGATAGTCGAATTTGCCTTGTTTGACTTGCTCTCGAATAATGTCGGCATCCAACGGAAAGTACATCTTCTGCGTGGCTTTGAAGATAAAGCGGGGAAGCAAACAAGCCATGGTAGCACACAGAACGTATGCCCAGAAATTGAGGTTTCCGTAGACTTCGGCTCCGGCCTTGTAGAACTGTTGACTGGAAGTAAAGGAGGTGTAGGCGCCAGTCCAGAGCCAGATGAAGAGGGTACTGATGACTACGATGAGGACCATTAACCAATCCCATCGGTAAGTGTTGTACAAAACGTAAATGTTGGCGGCACAAACGGCAGTGGTAGCGGCATAGATACCCATGCGTCGGTACTCGGCAATGTCCAGGCCGTTAGAGGTTGCAAAAGTTGCAGGCTCGAATATCTCGTATAGGAAGAAGAAAGCAATGGCGGATTGATAGATACCATCAACCATGTACGCCCTACGAATACGTTAGAGATTGTCAAGTAATTCTTGAGCATCACACTTACCAAAACTTTGGTTGCGTCCACTCCTTGCGTTCGATACCACGACGATATAGCTGTGGAACAGCCAGAGACACCTTGTCGTCGACATCCTGGTCCAAAACACCCATGACAATAACAGGGAGTGACGTAAACGCCAAGTTGAAGAAGATGATGTATGTGTAGTCGAAAATATACTGGCTGTCAAAGTTTGTGTAAATCTGGTACCAGAAGAGGGCAAAAGTCCAAACAATGTTCTATTGAATGTTAGCATAAGCAAATTAGTCATAATGAGAAAACGGCTCACTTTGTAGAAAAAGTTGGCAATGGTCTCCGCAAGTCTGCGGTACGACCATCTGCCATGAACAAGCACAAGGCGGGTCAAGAAGCGGAATTGGCCAATCGCGTAATCCGAAGACATGACGGCCGCGCGACCCTCAACACCGGCGATACCGACACCAACATGTGCCTCTTGAATCATGGCAACGTCGTTAGCACCGTCTCCAATGGCAAGAGTAAGACAATCCAGTCCAGTCTTGACCATGTTGACAACAGCCGCCTTTTGGCTAGGACTGACTCTGCAGCACAGGACAGATCGACATCTCCTGCAGAGCAAGAGGAACTTTCTCTTGACGGACTCATCCAAAGCCAGCTTGAGTGTGTCTCCATCGATGATGATGGCATGTGTGGGTGGAGGCGGTTCGTGGTCGTTTTGAGCGGCAGCCAGCTCCTCCTCAGAACCCTCGAGACCAAAGATTTTGAGCTTTTCGTCGAGCTGAGCTTCCACGGATGCAACGGCGTCATCTGTTACCTTGAGAATAATGAGATCCATGTCGTTATCGAGCAGGTTGCACGAGAAACCAATGTTGATGGCCGTTTCCACCTTGTCACCAGTCAGGACCCAGAGCTTGATACCTGCCTGACCGAGAAGCGAGATGGACTCTGGTACACCGTCCTGAAGTCGGTCCTCAATAGCGGTTCCTCCTAGTAGCCAAAGGTGGTTTTCGATGCGATCAGACACTTCTTCCAACTTGTCCTCACGTCCCTGGATGGCGTTGGCAGCAACGTCGTAGTCCTTGCTCCACTCTTGGTACTCCTCTTCAGAGATTTCTCTCTGAGCAATACAAAGTGTTCGCAGTCCCTCTCGTGCAAACATTTCCAGGTGCTCTCCAGTATCAGCGCGAAGCTGTTTTTGCTCATTGGGGATCAATCTCGAGTAAATCATGCTGTCAGCACCCTTGCAGAAGAGGATAATCTTGCCGTCGGGCATCCTGATGATTGCGCTCATGCGCTTCCTACTGGAGTTAAATTCGAGCGTATTGAGAACCTGGTACCTGCGCTCCTGTCCCAAGACGTTCAGAATGAGATTGTCATCTTCGCGGCCGACAAATGTGAATCCAACATCACGAGCCGTGGCAACAAGTGCAGCCTCGTCGGGTGATTGGGCCTTGAACTCAATCTTGGGTGGGTCGCCGGGGGTGCGTTCGGTAACAACGGTGTGGCAAAGAGCCAAAGCAAGCATGAAATCCTCATTGGCCCTCTTCTGTTCCATTCCGGCATCTCCGCGTAGATCATCGATGAAGTCGGGCGCAACAAAAGTCAGGTCGTCGTCCCACAGATAAGGATTATCGTGCATCTTCCGGATACCCTCGAGCATGCGCGCACGATCCCTTGCAATTTGATCACGAGCCTTTGCGCCTTCCACCTCGACGTCGATGCCTTGTCTTCGCTGCATTCCGGCTTGGGCTTCGGTGTATGCTTCTCCGTAGGGAACACCGTTGATGGTTGCTTTCTTGAACTCCATGACGTTCTGAGTAAGAGTTCCTGTCTTGTCCGAGAAAATGTATTCGATTTGTCCGACATCATCGGAGATGTTCCAAGATTTCGGGGTACACGGGTAGTCGAGCTTTTCGTAATACATGTTGATGTCGCTGTAGATGAAGAGGGCCTGGAGTGTTCGAATGATTTCCAACGTAATGTAGAGCGAAATAGGGACCAAGTTTTGGAAGAGAATGACACCAGCCCAGAAGGCGATGACACCGTCAGTAGCAGGGGCGCCTCCATATGAGCCATACTCGAAGACGGAGTGCGAAGTGTCGTTCCGAGCCCACGAAACTCCAAGCACAATTCCAGACACCAGACACATGGCGGCCAAGATGAAGAAGTTGTACACGACGTTCCAATTAAGTTCTTTTGAGATGCGGGCTCGCTTACTAGGCGTGATTCCAGAGTTGATCATGATCTTGCTCTCGTCGCCGGTGAAGATGACTACTCCCAGAATCCACTCGGTGTTTCGCAATTGACATCCACGGAGGACCAGATTGTTGATGGAAATGGGCTCGATCATTTCGTAGGGTTGCGCCTCGGGGTCCTTTGTGTTGTGTTGCTGCCACCGGATGGCTGCGCTGTATGAATAAAGGTTCGAGTGGGGGCCTTCACTCTCAATGACGAATTCAGCGCGTTCGCAGTGTCGAGCGTGTCGTACATCGCGGGTACAGTGCAGTGCGCTGCGCACCTTGAGGTTCGTCTCGCCGTCCAGATTCTTAGTTTCGACATAACAGGCGCCATCATCGGAAGATGTGGAAAGGACAATGACGTCGGCGGGGATTTCTTCGTTGTTGTATAGACGCACAAAATCGCCAACCTGGACGTTCTTCCACGCGTCCTTCTTGAAGCGGGCTTTTTCAGGGACGGACTTGTAAGGGTTCAAGACGCTTCCCCAAAACTTCTGAGTGATCTCGGGTTTGGAGTCAGCGCCGCGAATCTTGTCGTTATCTCCGGGTCCTAGAGGCCAGGATGGGGACTGGGTAGGGGACTGTCCAGGCAGAGGTGAAGGGACTGGTGTCATCTGAATGTCGCCTTCGTTTCCCAAGTACGACTCGGTATGCGACACAACCGAGGATCGGCGAGCATCGATTGAAGGCCGGGTGACGTCGACGGCCCTGTCGCTACCCTGCTTTCCCTTTCCACCTTTAACGCCCTTGATTAGCCGCCAGGTTGTGACTATGCTCTTGGTTGTCGCCTTCTTGATCCGGCGCCATAGCGATATCGAGTCTTCGGCCGTATTGACATTGTTGAAGTCGACAAGTCGGTGGACTGGGGCGTTGTTCAGCTCCATGTCGAGGACGGTTCTGCGCCAATCCTCAACGGCATCCTTAATGGCAGTTACGACGAGAATGACAATGAGGGGCACTGCGTTAAGCGCTGGGTTCGAGGCACCGAAGATGGAGAAGATCTAGAGGGGTTGGGGTCAGTTTTGGGGAGAGATGAATGGGCAGAGGGGGGGAGCGAGTGGGCGAAAACATACACCCAGAATGATAATGAACAAGAAGTAGACATTGGCAATGTTGTGGAACTGGAACCACAGATTCTTTGGCACGAAACTGAGAGGCGTATATTTGGCGGTTCTTATCTTGTTGCGGGCGTATGATTCGAGGGGATGGCCTTCTTCGTCGCGCGCACTCTGGGGCAAGGGCACGTTGAAGTAGACTTTGCGACCTCCTTCGTTCTCGTCCACTTCGGGCTCGACGTCATCTGAACCTTCGACCGACTGGTCGCCGTGCTGGGAACCGTCTTCCTTGCCGAGCGAATATCGCTTCTCTCCTCCCGAGCCTATGCGCCGGTGCAGGCGTTCCTTGAGAGAGTTTCGCTTGATGGCGGCTTTTGTGCCCGTCGCGCGATGTGTGGCCCCTACGAGCAGTGTCAGCACAAGTCGCAGCCGGGCAGGCGGTAAGCAGCGGGTTCAAGAGCAAGCAGGCGACTCACATCGGATGCGC